TATTTATTATGTTCTCTTATCTTTCTCTCTCTCTCTCTCTCTCTCTCTCTCTCTCTTTCTCTCGCGGTTTTTTTTTATCCGATAACTGGATACGAGAAAATAAACTTGTAATTATTATAGAGAACGCACAGTGAGTTGTTTTGGAAATGCACTGCTTGTATTTTTATGACTTATATTTAATTTTTTAATTTGTTTGCCAATGACATTTCTTTCGAGAAATTTGTTTTTTTTTCTTAATAAGATATAAGACAATGCTAATGTTCGTTTTAATTAATAAACGTTTCTACGTCGTTACGTTGAGAAACTTTATTCATTAACTTGTAACACGTGGTTTCATCGACGGTGGTGTCAGCCGGCCGTTTTTATTGGTCTTCGGTGAGAGGGGTGTGAAGCGTCCTTAAAACTGAGAAGGGATAAGAGATCCTATCTCTTGGCGCGACTTCGAGCGCTTCGGTCGACTTCAAATAAGATCGTATAATCAGTATATATCGCAATTAATCAATGTATATCGTAATATCGGAAATGAAGACGAAGACTCTTTCTAGTCCGACTTGCTTTATAGTTGCCGGCGAACGTTGCGATATTTTATTCCAAAACTATTCTGGAAAAGTTTGTTTCGTTCCTAAAATACCGATAAAATCCGATATTGTCGAGTCGTTGAGATTAATTTAAACTTTTATCTTTTCGGGTATTTCACTCTGTGACCTTTAATTTTATGCGCGCGTTCGTGAGACCGAAGATTAAATGTACAACTTTACATACGTGTACAGTTGAGATAAAAATCATGTGCGAGCGATAGTTCTTTGTTTTTTTTTATTTGTTTTTTTTTTTTTTTCTAAAAGTCATCGTGTTAACGGGAGGCCATATGTTCGCGACAGTGAGATCTCGAAAAATCCATACTGCATGATAATCACGTGCACGTGTGCTTATCTTATCACTTTCGCACGGACTTAACGTCCGGGATATCGAGAACGCTTTCGATTCTAATTTATGACGATGATTATTCCCCCAGCCTCTTAGAATGCTCGATAAAGAGTCCTCCTTTTTCCGTGTCTTCGCACCTCTAAATTTTATCGAAAATGCATAATCGATATACACGTAATTCACTGAAACCGAAATTCGCGCGATGATTTACGCGATGACGCATATACGTTATTTCATGTACAATGATGACAATAGAACGCTATCTATGGAATGAATAAATCCATTTTCGTAGTCGAACTTTGACATCAGACTTTTGTTAAATCACATTTACACAAACAACAATGGGAAAATGTTGGCGTTTGGTTTCTAGTTATTTATAATTGCATATAAAATATTTGCAAAGACATTTTGTCTTTTTTTTTTTTATTATCAGCGAAATAATACTGAACTAACTAATAAGAGCTGAGTATACGCGCGAAATGTAAATTAAGCAAGTTATTATTTCACAAAAATTGGATTCGAAAATCTATATGGGATGCTTGTGGCTCGCATCTCGTATGTACAATTTGTATATTTATTGCATCTTTTCTTTCACGCATAAAGAAACAATCTAGCAATTTATTAGCATCTTCACGTCTGTCTGTCCGCATTAATCAATTTCGTGGGGCGCTCGAAACACCTTTCGATTTGCCTCATTAGACCTCTCGCGCATCTGCGTTGAACGTATAAAGCACGTTGCGAGAGTTAATCGATTCTGCAGCGCCCTTTCTTTCGTTCGCAAAAGTTTTTTTCTCTCGCGCGTCTTCCTCGCGCAAATATTAATTATACATTCAGAAGAGATCTCATTGCGACGTGTCGCAAAAGAAAATGATTAATCGAAGACACAACTGACTCTCGCACAGGTACATACGTGAGTACGTTTTTACGAAGGTACTTCGAGCGAACTATTTATGCCCCGTTACATTGATCGCACTTGACGTAAACTCATATCGAGGATGCGAGTTAGATAGTTGAGATAAATATACGAGCGCGTAACAAGAGTAGGAAAATTTATGTGTCTATTTACACACCGAGTTCTTTACCTCTCTCTCTCTCTCTCTCTCTCTCTCGATATACTCGATCTTTTTCGATATACAAAGCGTACAAATCCATTCAAGCTGATGTAATATTTTCCGTAACGAAATAATAATCGACGATCAATAAAGTAAAGTCAACTTTCTCCGGAGTAGCAACACGAGGCGAGAATATTATACCGAGAAGGTTTCTCGGGCGAATATCCTCCTTCCGGAAAAGTATCTCTCTCCGAAGAAAATATCTTGAAAATATTTTTCGTGAGTAAGAATATTTTCAGAATATTACACTTCCGGACTCTCGTTGTCTGTGTGTCATAGAGTGCGATAACGTGGGATAGAAGTCGGGTATCGTATAGAGTTGCCGATTCATTTATACGGGAGGATGTGTGTGGTGTTTCGTGCAGCGCGGGGGGATTTTAGGAGAAAAATACACGTCGGTCATTTCTGTGTGTGAGAGAGAGAGAGATAGAGAAGAAAAGTATCCGCGCGACTCCTTGATAAGCCCGAGATAAGATATCGCACTTACGCGTGCCGCGTAAATATTGCCTCGTAATATCAGTCCGAGCGTATAAATAAAACAGTGCGCCGTGTAACACGCGTTTTCCCGGGTTTTTCCGCCACTTTTATATATCATCCTCCCTTCGGTCCCCGCCGACGCCGGTTGCTATCGTTCTGCATCCGTTTCCACGGCGCATCGTCACCGAAGGAAACTGCCGCAGGATGAAAAGTAAGCGGCGTGTCACCTATACGCGCGCGTGTCCTCCACACGTGTACGTGCCTGGCACAAAGACGCGCGTTACACAGAGAACACGCCAGAAGAGGGTGAGTTTCATAAATGTATAGCACGTATATATACGTGTGCGCGCGCGCGCGCGTTCGCTCTCGCTCTCTCTTTCTGTGACACAACGATACCCACGGTCTTGGCATGTATTCATACGCTGGGCGTCCATTGTCTCGAGTTGTTCGAAGGTAAAAGATCGCAACTGAAGCGTTAAAGCTGACGTCATTGTTTCACTTTTCTTTCGTCGCGCGAGCATGCATCGGCCTACGCGCAAAACACACAGAGAGATCGCAGGCACATTTTCTCTCTCGTGTCGGTCCAATTTATCTATATGTATACATGTATATCATAATGACGCTCTCAGCTATCAATTCCGCGCAATATAACTCTGATACGGCCGCTTTGTTTTACCTCATCAGGAGGGGAGGATTTTCCGCGCGCCATTTTGCAGCATTAATAACGTGACAATTCACGGCTGTGACGCTCGAGAGATCCGGATGTGCGATTAATTAGTGAAGAGACTCGTCTTGCGCGTCTAACGCGAGTTAATGCGCAATTTATATCCGTGCCACACGCATGTTTCGTTTTTTTTTTTGTTTTTTTTTTGCAAAACCGATTTTAATATCGCCTCGCGGTTCTCCCTCGCCGCGCGTATCGGATTTCAATCGCAAACTACTGGCCGGCTGCCAACGCGTGGACGCGAGCAAACAGCGCGTCGTTCATGAGTTCAATTATGTAGTTTTAAGCGAGTGGGGGCGAGCAATTAATTCGTCAAGAAGTTTATACAGAAAGAAGAAGAGAGAGAGAGAGAGATGACAGAGTACACCTGTTAATAAGCGAACGCACTTGAACTTCGAGTTAGATTAGAGGAGCAAATGATTAGCGGTCGACTTACCACTTATTTTCGATGTTACACACGTCGCTCTCGTGTGTCCGTCACACAGAGTGTTACCCACTCATATTCCTCCACGTAGTGGACATTTTTATCACAGGGACGAGAATATTCCCGACCGCAGACTCGCCCTCTTTCTCTCTCTCTTTCTCTCTCTCTCCTAATTAATCGCGCGCGATGCGCGCAAAATAGAAGAGCGCGTCTATGTCGAGCGAGGAAACTATCTCGCCGCGAAACGGACAGAAAAAGTCTTCTATGAACTATGACCTGCGGATACACGGCTGACCCGCTTCATCATCACCGCGCGCGTTCTGCACACACACCTCTCTCTTCCCCAATCGTCCATTACACATGCCATCCCCCCAACGCTGCATGTGAACAACGTCGCCGTGTCTCTCTCTCTCTCTCTCTCATCCTCTCTCTCTTCTTGCGGTGTAGCGGGATTAAATCCTAAGGGCAGTTACTCACTCGTGTAGGCTCCGGCACAAATTGGCCTGGCATTTATTAGCACAGGTCAATGCTTCGAGTCCGCTATTGACACAACCGGCTGCTGCAGCGCGCGCTGCTGCTCCGCGCGCGCACATACATATATTCGCGTTCTTGTAGATACAAGGTTGTTTCCGTGACCTAACCTACGGAAAGCTATTTATTAAACCGCGGCTATTGAAAAAAAAAAAAAAAACGAAGAAAAAAGAGAACTGTCAAACTCACCGGCAAGTATCACCTCGAGGTTGATTCGTTTCGCTCGCGTTCGAGCAAATCTGCAATATGCGGAATGGGAATCTTCATAAGTTAAGTGACTGACGGAAAAACCGATAGAGATACACGAGGTCGCACTTGCACAAAAAAAAAGAGTACTCCGCCGTGACGGAGTTGAATTTTTTTGCACAGCGAATATTTTTATCTAAAAAATTTTCATACACACAGAACTGTCGCACGGTTAATTGCCGCAGCGTGTGAATAATTTTACATCGCTTGACCTGTATGTCTATTTGAATATTAAGCGTAATCGCCGCGATCGTGGTAATTACATAGTTCGATAATTCGCGCTAAAATAACCGGTACGTACGATGTTGACGGTAATGATCGCTTGATACGCGCGCGCGTGCGACAAACAACACGCAGCCGCGCCGAGCAGCGACTAATTAAACGGTAAACCTTCCGTGATTGCGGCAGTTTGCTTTTACACGTTTTACCACAGGTTCTGCAATTTTGAGATTAGACTCAAGCGTTGCTCTAAGCGAGAAATGTAGATGTTGTCGTCGATACAATGCGATTGCTCCGCAAGACTGCTCGTCGTAAAGCTCTTTCTTTTCTCTTTCTGTTGCAGTGAAGAAGGCGCGGTTCGTCTGCGAGGATGGTGAGTATATCACGACAGAAATAACGAAGGAAACGTGGAAATTTCCGGGGTTCACCCCTGACGCGTAATCGATTTCTTCTATGATCGCTCTCACATGTACGAGCGAAGTATTATAACGCCCGAGTTTGCGCGGTGATATTCAAAAAATTGAGAGACGTTGCGAGAAAAAAAAGTAAAAAAACAACGACGTCTTTAGTTACGCCTCGACTTTCGTGGACAATTTATTGCGCTTTGCGATTGGAGCGCTTCCAAGTTTCGGATTATGTGATTCCTTAAGTTTTGGAAAATGTCGCGACGAATCCGCTCTTGTAGCGAAATAATTTTTCCGCGCGGAGATGGCGAAGGATCTTTGCGGTAAACCTTTGAGAATCATGTCGTATATCTATAAATCCTCGAGATAATAGTTTGTACACGTACGATCGTTTACAATGTAAGATCCGTTTGAATTTGCGCGAAATAAAAGAGGATCGAACTGATAATAGAGATTGAGCGGATGTGTCTCGGTGAAAAAAAACAAAAAACAAAAAAAAATCCACGACATTATTCAATATTTTCCCACAATGGCGAGTGTAACCCTGGCGTGCTCTGCTTGTGTATTTATGGCATGCGGTTTTTAATATTTATCCTCGTGTGTGACGTGGCGCGTACAGAATGCATATACGAAGACCATTATTTCACGCAATGTCGTAAGATCGAAGTGTAACGATAACCGCCCACACCGGTGTCGCAAATGCAAAATGCATTCAGTTTCATGAATGTGTATTTGCTCCTCAATGCTTCGACTGTGCACATTCATTCATATTAAAAAAAAAAAAAAAAAACCGGCTTTTCATCAAGAACAAATTTAGTTTTATCAAAGTTGATTGCGAATTACATTCCTCCCATTTGCGCAATGGTCCTTCACGTCTTTCTCTCTTTTTCTCTCTCACACTCTTTCTCTCTCGTGCATAAAAAGCAAATATCACGGCGCAACTTATTCTCATCGTGCAAACGACGTTCGATTCGTTCCATATACCCTATCTCTGGCCTCTCACTTAGGTCACGAGAGGCTGCGCGGTTATTTTCACGGTTTCGATTAAAGCCTCTATTTATGCTGCGTCTAATTTTTTATTAATAGCCTCCCGCGGGGCGAGCTCCTCTGCTGGAAAACCACCTAGCCGTGGAACGAATCTTCGAACATATTTCGTCGCCCCCCGATTGCTCGGAGACAATTTTCGTGGACTCGTAAAGCAAAATGTCGAGGGTGACGCACCCCATATCTCACGCAAAACAATTGTGTGTGTGTGCCGTGGCTCATATAAAATCTCACATCCATTTTATACCGGGCGCAAACTTATTGAAGACGCGCGCAACCAAGAACGTGCGCGCACACACACACACAGCAGATGCCCCCGAGGGGGTAGCGGGCGCGTAGTTACCGAACTTTGTTCCCTCGGACACATAAACCAGGCGAGAATGCCATCAGGATCGCCGTTAAATCGAACAAAACAGCGCGGCGGTGTCATAGTTTACGGGCGGGGTTTAAATCACAACCGCTTTGTCGAAGCGTAATTCATCTGCTTTGTGCGATTCCGCGCTAAAGATGATAAATATACGATGTAAAACTTAATCGAAATGTCAAATACATGTGTACGTCAAGAACGTCGCGACCGTTTAAACGTCACAACATATATTTCGCTCGTATGTTGAGAGAGAGAAGAGAGCACGTGCGATAGATACGCGTTGTATATGCAGTCTTCTGAACTGACTGGACTAAAAACAACGGATTATCGACTAACGTACTTGCAGCGGAGCAGTTCAACTCCTACGTAACACTGAAGCTGCAGAATGTAAAGTCGACGACAGTCACTGTGAAAGGGGCCAATCCATGCTGGGAACAAGACTTCCTCTTGTAAGTAATCGATAATTAATTTGCGCGCGAACGTTTTTACGTTAGACACAGCGAAGCGTGAAAGAGACCATTACAAAAAAAAAAAAATGTTAAATTGAAACTGTTTTTTCTGCGGTAAAATGAAAAATTCTCATGTGATTACTTGCTATGATGTTACACGCCCCCTCGGGGAAACGTTGCGAGTTATCGCGTGCGCGCTGGCACTAAAATATCTAGGACAGCCGGCGATTCGTGCGCATCCACAAAAGAATCTGAGACCAAATTGCGTTCTTATTTAAATGTGACTTGACGCAGGTGGACCAAATCGGTTCGCGAATTTTTTGCGAGTCACAAAAATTTGTGAAAACCAAAATAACAAATCGGAAAAAAACGCGATTCTACACTTCAGGATACGCGGCCACGTGTCTTTAAAATCAGATTTTTTTTACACACTTTAATCTTCCATTTCCTGAAGTTACTAAATATGCAATCACAAAGAAATTAAAAAAAGATTAAACAACTTTTTTCCCCATTGATTTTTGCATCGGGATTAAAGAAAACTTGGCACGCAGTTCAATAGAGATTACACAAGACAAGTGTGGTTTTTGGTTTGATAAATCGCAATTCGTTACGATGAAATATAGTGTATGGTTCGTTCTTGATCTTGGCTCTCGCTCGTGTAACGTTCGTTGCCAACAATATTGTTAAATGTCGCATATTTAGACTATTTTATATACAACTCGCACAAAAAGCACAGTCTGATTTGTTTCGCAATATTTCTCTGTGTCTTGCCACGAAATTAATGGAAGTTGTTTGTTTACGCAGCGAAACGAATGACATGAACGCCGGGCTTGTGATAGAAGTGTGGTGCAAGGGATTCTTGTGGGATCGCTTTCTGGGCTACTACTATATCCCACTGTCGCAAGTGTCCTACATGAACGAGGTAACGAGAAATCAGTGCACCTTAAGCGAGAACCCCGAACAACACGTACCGTCCTCCGATATGCGTGACACCAACAGCAACACACAGCAAGACAGTATTACTGACACGGTACACTAGTATACATTGTACACTGAAAGTAGCGCAAACAATAGCAGATAGAGTAACAGTAGGTATAGACGCTATAGACGACGAGATAAAGATACTGAAAAATTCAAAAGAATGATTATAATAAAAAAATAAAATCGCAGTAGACGCTATTACGCAGCGACAGCAACAAGTATATGCTCTTTGCACAATTTGTCGTAACTCAACATACAGGTTCAATTAGTAAGACGCGCTTATACATATATATATATTTTCTTTTATGTCCGACATTCATTTTTCCGTCGTAAGAACGGATGTCCGGTCATTTTTGCGAGAAAGAACGCCCGCGCGCCGAAAGATAACAGAGAGAGAGAGAGAGAGAAAGAGAGTTCTTTAAGCATCCCCCGCACGTAACGATCTCTCGCAGAATCCGTTCAACTCCTCTTCTCCCCCCGGACACGTTTCCGTCACTCTCTTTCTACGGTCTCTTTTTAGCGGTCAACGCGGCTTCGAACGTGAAATGAAATTCGACGAGTATTTGCTCGTCGGACGAACTAAAATCAATTACTGTCTGACACTCTGTTCGTTGGTTTTCGGCGGCAATATATAACTGAATGATTTTCTCGCGTCATTCTTTAGTTAATAATCGACATCGTCAGCTCTATGTCACGAATTCTCCGCGCAATTTTTTTTGTATAACTTTTTTTTTGTGCGACACTTTGTTACAAATTTAGAAGAGAACGATTGCGAGATGAAAGAGGGAGAGAGAAAGAGAGCGAGCTACAAAATGGAGAAAACGTGACGCGATCAATTGATGTCCGATGCGTGACCGATTGCGAGGGCAATTCAGTCGGTGTATTATGTCGCTCGCGTACAAATTGAATCCGCAAAGGTGACGCCAACACTGACCATTTGCATTGATACTGACGTCGCTTAATTCGCTGTGCGTTTTCACGAGCGCAATCACGGATGAACGTCGAGCACCATCGAAGAATACGGTGATTAACAACAGCGCGTAATTTACGTCGCTAACGTGAGCAAACATCGTAGTTGCGACGTCGGAGATGGCGATTACCTTATTCTCTTTTTCTCTTTCTCTCTTTATCTCTCTCTTTCTTTCTCTCTCTCTCTCTCTCTCTTTGTCTTTCTTTCCAAGATGCATTTACGATACATTTCGCGTTTGTAATTACGTCGCACGTTATTAGATATTAATATAGCAGCTATGAGAGACCTAATTTCTCTTATCGTCGCTTCTATCAAGCGCGCGCGCACATACACATATACACACATACACACACACACACACAGACCCTCAAACGTAAGTTGGAACCCGGAACTTGGAAATGTCGATTCGCATAACACAAATTACGTCTCACTCAGGTAACTCGTACGACAAATTGATGTGCTTGGATTTCTGTACTTTAGTTTTCCAAACAAGATTTAAGGAAGATTACGATTCGTTTCTTCCTTTCATCCCTGCGTATATCGCGATATGCTCTTTGAGGTCTTCGAACTTACTTACCTACCGCGATTCTTCGTTCTCTTCTATCTTTCTGTCTTTATTCGCGGAACGCGCGGTCGACTGCACTTTGACTTTACGCCGACAAAAGTGAATTTTCGCTAATTAAATTGCCCGAACGCTTTACCTTACGGGTCGCGAGGGCGAGGAAATGCGAGATGCTCATTCATTCGATAAAATCACCCTTCCCCTGGCGAGAATAATAACTCTTTAGAGCGCTCGGAGTCATTCTTTTAAACGGCTAGACAGGAGTCACTCATGCGAGACCCGGAAGAAGCAATTCTTCTTTTCTTTTGTTCCTACCTCTTTCGGGTGTTATTCAAATTCCGGAACAACCGCCCGAGTATCTTAAAGTCAATTTCTCGTTCGTCTTCCTCTTTTCATCGTCATTATAAATTGAATAAAAATGTTTTTTTTTCTTTTTTTTTAACAATTACTAGCACGACACAGGCTCGCGCTACGCGCACGCTATTTGTGTTTTTATTTTAACGTGTAGTGTCAGTGAACACAACCTGTCATATGTGTGTGTGTGTGTATTATATATAAATATAGAATATCATATAAAATATATATAATATTCTCTTTTTTACTCTTTCCCTCGGTCACGTAACTTTAGTCACATGGTGTTTATCTACTCCTCTCTATCACGTAACTTTAATCATGTGTTGTTTTTCCATTTTCCCCTTTTTCTTTTATGTTTCGAATTCGATTTTCATGCGTTATTTCTGACATCTCTCATATGTACATTATGTGTATTATATTGTTTGTAAGATGTATATATTAGCTGTCATTGCGGTGACACACACATATATATATATATATATATATATATATGTATATATATATCGTAATTACGTGACTAAAGTCACCCCGCCGCGATCGCGCGGCCGAGGTCAATGCCCCGCCAATGCCGCGCGGCCGGGTCAGTGACCTCCCCCTCCCCCATCAAGGCCGCGCGGCCGAGGTCAATGCCCTGCCAAGGCCGCGCGGCCGGGTCAGTGAACTCCTCCCCCACCAAGGCCGCGCGGCCGAGGTCAATGCCCCGCCAAGGCCGCGCGGCCGGGTCAGTGACCTCCCCCCTCCACCAAGGCCGCGCGGCCGAGGTCAATGCCCCGCCAAGGCCGCGCAGCCGGGTCAGTGACCCCCCCCCCACCAAGGCCGCGCGGCCGAGGTCAGTGACCTTACTCTGTAGTATGTATATAATACACATAATATAATATAAAATATAATATTATGAATATATAATAAATTGTATGTATAATATATATTATTTAATGTTATATATAATATAAATTACAGTCACATTTCTTTAGTTTCATGTTGTGTTGTTTTTCTACTCTTTTTTGTCACGTGACTTTACTTTAGTCGTTTTTAATTTTCTCCACGTATACGACGAACTGTCAAAATCGCTTTTTTGTCATTACTTACTCTCTCGATTTTACCGATTCGATTCGATCTCGACTTGACTCGATCAACCAACTAATTAATCGGCAACGCGGAAAAGAGGCAACAATAAATGCGATAGATTCGACTCTGAAACGCGCACTTCGCGATACACATGGATTTTTTTAATATAGGAGGATTAATATACGCGACAGATTCTGAAAATATCTTTTCTTCGGTATGTTCGTTTTTAGCAAAATTTTAGTTTTCGCAAATAATTTCTCTGTGGTGTATTTTCATTAAGAAAAAGTGTAAAACCGATGTAGATATGAATCTGTGTGTGTGTAACAAATAAAATATAGTAGTAAAAGACGCTTATAGCCGGACATGTTTGTTTGCTTTTTCCGCACGAAGTGCATCCGCAGCATCTTTCAACGAAGACTCGAACAAATTAAATTAGAGAGCAGAATTACCTTCGTGCGGGGTGTGCGACTTGGTCACGTGCGAGAACATGGCTCTACTTTTATATGCGCTCGACCACTAATGGTGCACCTCAAGCATCTTTCTTGCGAGGCTGTCGTAAAAAAATCTTTCTCAGGACTGGCTCAGAGAATCCGCGGTGCCACGGCGCGATTCGATGGTGAAATTTTTTTTGCACGATTAAAAAAACAAAAAATTTCGCCAAACAAAAATTTCAACGAACAAGCAGTTTTTCGAAATCCGATTCGGATTTAAAATCGCAAGTGTTTTGTTTATGAAATTTGATTTTCGAAGCGAGAGCAGCGCCGCGACCTACGCGCAGTGTCGTTTCCTATCGCTCTCCCGCTGTTCCCGACAACGACATCGCCATCACTATCGCCAATACCCGGATCCTCTTCCGGCCGTGACGTCACTTGGCGCGCGGCCAAATCGCGGCGCTCAATGAAACGTTCGGTGAAGTCAGCCGGGTCGACCGAGAGTGGGCGACGCGGTCGACGTAGAGTTTACGACGACATTATGCTGCGTGCACACACATGCAAGGGGACACTTTTAGAGAGGGTAGGAGGCAACGACCTTGACGAAAGATTTCACAGCTGATTCTCGCGCTGTGCTTCGCTCGTAGCTTGAAAAAGATGTGTCCGACGACATTTACTGAAGGAAGCCTTAACGTCGCGCTAACGACCTCTCATTCACACCCACGAGACGTGGTGTCCTCCCCGCGACAATTTTATCTACGCTATTCGTATTTGTTACCTTTCTTGCTTTGCTCCGTGAGATAATCGCATTGCTCTCGGATGTACAAGACCGAGAAGCCGATGACCGTATGATCTACGATCCGCGAGTATAAAAGCCGACACATCGTCGTCGTCTTTTATCCGACGAGAAGAGAGACATCAAGACGTTTTCTCAAGCGAAGTTCTCTCTCTCTCTCTCTCTCGCTTACTCGACTTTTCGCTTTGAACGATTGTGGCAACAATGGGAAGAATCCACAAATCACACTATAAATCGTTCTCTCCGCGTTTTTTGGCCGAACGATCGACGGGGAAAACCTCGCGCGCGCTGACACTCGCGGAGATAAAGCGCCGATGCGGAAGACGGCGAATGCATGCGCACACGTGTGTAAAAGAGGAGAGAGAGGACAAAGCGGATACGAGACGACACACAAGCGATATAGAGACTCGGTCGAGAGCGGATGAAACGGGGTTGGGATGATGATGATGATGATGCAAATGGGGGAGCTGATGAAGACGCGATGTGAAACCGCGTGCTTAAAACGCCCCGTTGCTGCGAGCGGTGATGGACGAGAGACGTGCGGGAGTACCTCACCGTCGAGAGCGAGGTAAACGAGCCCCGAAGTACCAATGCGCGAGGTCACGATTGCTTTCCCGTGTTGCGAGCAGGACAATCTGGGTCAGCACTGCCGCTTAAAATATTCATAAAGCGGCACGCGAGCTCTATAAATGTACGGCCGATTTGATACGCATTAAGAATGCACCTGTTCGAGCTTGTGTATCGAACAATCCCCACCGCTAGCCGTAAACTAATGTCGGAAACAACACCGATCATATTATCCGTATAACGATGATGTCTTATTGTCTCGCGCCGACAGTGTCGAGGGCGCGCGTGTTACTGACGAGGGCTC